ACTGAGAGCCTGGGGCACTGGGATTGCAGGGCACTGAGAGCCTGGGGCACTGAGAGCCTGGGGCACTGGGAGCCTGGGGCAGTGGGAGCCTGGGGCACTGGGAACCTGGGGCAGTGGGAGCCTGGGGCACTGGGAGCCTTGGGGCACTGGAACGGCAGGGCACTGGGGGCCCAGGGTATTGAGTGCCCCTGAATCTGGATGGCATGGTGGGCAGCGACCGTTGAATTGTGTTCCTTCACCCATCACTGCCGTTTGCCTTTGTAGAACTCCCGGTACCAGACATACCAGCGGATGTGGAACTACATGCATTCGAAGCAGCCCAGTGTCTTTGTGAAGACCACTGAGGAAGGCATTGCCCGGGTTTTGAACTCCAAGTACGCCTTCCTGCTGGAGTCCACAATGAACGAGTACCACAGGAAACGGAACTGTAACCTGACTCAGATCGGAGGCTTGCTCGATACCAAGGGTTACGGCATCGGTATGCCACTGGGTAGGTGCCAGGGATCGAACCCATTGCAATACACCCGCCAGGCCATTCAGTCCCACTAACCAGTGCTGCTGTTAATGGTTCAACTTGAGCCATTGTCTTCCCAGCATTCCTCTCTCCAGTTTCCTGTATCTCAGCCCATTCAGCTCAATGCCACTCTCTGCAGGACCCAGCTCCGGATGCCTGGGATAGAGGTTTCCCCTGGAATTCCAAGTGGATTTGTCTCTCCCACCCTGGCTCTGCCATGGGCTCACATTGGTAGTTGGAAAGGTTTAGACAACTGGGATCAAGCGAATCCCTCAAAGAGTAGAACAGGTGTAGGGACATTCTGAAGAGCGCAATCAGGACGGCAAAAAGGGGATATGAGATAGCATTGGCAGATAAGGTTAAGGATAATCCAAAGCGATTCTACAAGAATATTATGAATAAAAGAGCAATTAGAGAGAGAATAGGGTCCCGTAAACGTCACAACGACATTGTGTTGAACCTCAGGAGACGGGAGAGATACTAAATGAATATTTTGTGTTAGTTTTTACTGTGGAGAAAGAAATGGAGGCAGTCCACTCGGGGGAAATAAATACTGATGTCTTGAAAAGAGTCCACATTACAGAAAGATTTACCAGGATGTTGCCGGGACAGGAGGGTTTGAGTTATAAGGAGAGGCTGGATAGGCTGGGACTTTATTCCCTGGAGCATAGGAAGTTGAGTGGTGACTTTATAGAAGTTTATAAATCATGAAGGGCATGGATAAGGTTAATAGCCAAGGTCTTTTCCCTGGGGTGGGCGAGTTCAAAACCAGAGGGCATAGGTTTAAGGTGAGAGGGGAAATATTTAAAAGAGACCTGAGGGGCAACTTTTTCACACAGAGGGTGGTTTGTATGTGGAATGAACTGCCAGACGAAGTGGTAGATGCAGGTACAGTTACAATACTTAAAAGATATTTGGACAGGTACATGAATGAGAAAGGTTTAGAGGGAAATGGACCAAACACAGACAAATGGGACTCGTTTGGTTTGGAAAACCTGGTCGGCATGGAAGAGTTGGACCAAAGGGACTGTTTCCATGATGAATGACTCTATGTCTCCAGAAAGTGTCCATACAGTCCAGTTTCTTGCATGTTGTAAGAACTTAGAGATGAGATCTCAACACTGTGTTTATGTCTGTGTGTGCGTGTGTTTGTGAGACATTAAGATAGAGACAGTTATGTATGTGTGTGAGAGAGGCATTGAGATAGAAAGGCAGCTTTGTATGTGTGTGTGTGGTGTGTGTGAGAGACAGTGAGATAGGGAGACAGGATTGCTTGTGTGTCTGTGAGAGAGACGGTGAGATTTGAGACAGTGAGGGTCGTATGTATGTTTGAGAGAGAGAGAAATAGAGAGATAGGGTTGTATCTCTGTCTGTGACCAACAGTGTTTTAAAAACACAGGGTTCTGATTGTATGGGTTTGAGAGACAGTTGGTAAAATAGAGAGACAATAGAGATTCAGAAATCTGAAGAAGGGTCCCGACCCGAAACGTCAGCTTTCCTGCTCCTCTGATGCTGCCTGGCCTACTGTGTTCCTCCAGCTCCACACTGTGTTATCTCTGACTCCAGCATTGGCAGTTCTTACTATCCCAAATTAGAGAGACAGTTGTATCTGTATGTGAGAGAGACATGGTTGTCTGTATATGAGAGAGACAGTAAGATAGAGAGAGAGAGATTTGTGGTGTGTGTGAGAGACAGTGAGATGGAGAGATAGCATTTTTGTGTGCATGATGAACAGCGAAATAAACACAGATTTGCGTTTGTCTGTGAGGCAGTGAGATCAAGAGACAGGGTTGTGTATGTGTTAGAGGGAGAGAAATAGAAAGACACGGTTCTGTCTGTGTTTGACAGAGAGACAGTGAGATAGAAACAGAGTTATGTGTGTGTGAGAGAGAGAAAAATAGAGAAACAGGGAATATGTGAGAGTCGATGAGATAGAGAGAGTGTTTTGTGTGTGTAGTGTGAGAGACAGTGAAATCAGCAGGATTGTTTGTATGTGAGAGAGACAGAGTGAGATGTAGAGATGTGTGTGTGTGAGTATGTGTGTGTGTGAGAGAGTGTGTGTGTGTGCTTTTGTGTGTGTGAGCGTGTGTGTGCTTTTGTGTGTGTGTGAGAGAGAGATAGAAATAAAGGATCAAGCACATGTGTGTGTGAGAGAGATAGAGAGAGACAGATTTTTGTGTGGTGAGACTGAGCTGTGTTCATATGTGTTAGAGGCAGAAAGATACGATTGTTTTTGTTGTTGTGTGATAGTGACGTTGTGTGATAGTGACAGGATTGCGTTTATGTGTGTGACGGAAAGAGAGAGAGAAAGTGAGAGAGAAGTTTGTATCAGTGGGCAAAAGAGACAGTAACATAGAGAGACAGATTTTTGTGTGTGTGTTGTGTGTGTGTGTGTGTGTGAGAGAGAGATAGAAATAAAGAGACAAGCACATGTGTTTGTGAGAGAAAGATAGAGAGAGAGAGAGACAGATTTTTGCATGGTGAGACTGAGCTGTGTTCGTGTGTGTGAGAGGCAGAAAGATAGGATCGTTTTTGTTGTTGTGTGATAGTGACAGGGATGCGTTTATGTGTGTGACAGAAAGAGAGAGAGAGAAATTGAGAGAGAGGTTTGTATCGTGGGCGAAAGAGACAGTAACATAGAGAGACAGGTTGTGTGTGTGTGTGTGTGTGTGTGTGTGTGTGTGTGTGTGTGTGTGTGTGTGAGAGTGAGTGTGTGTGTGAGAGAGAGAAAGAGAAAGAGAGAGAGAGGGAGTGAGGCAGGATTGTGTTTGTGAGAGAGAAATAGAAAGACAGGGTTTTTTGTGTGTCTATGTGAGAGACAGTGAGATAGAGAGACCAGGTTGTGCCTTAGTCATAGAGGTATACAGTCATACAGCACGAAACGGACCCTTCAGTCCAACTCATGCACGCTGACCAGATATCCCAAACTGACCTGGTCCCATTTGCCAGCTTTTGACCCATATCCCTCTAAATCCTTCTGATTCAGATGCCTTTTAAATGTTGTAATTGTACCAGCCTCTACCACTTCCTCTGGCAGCTCAGTCCATACACACACCACCCATGAAAAGGTTACCCCTCAGGGTCATTTTTAAATGTTTCCCCTCTCACCTTAAATCTATGCCTTCCAGTTTTGGACTCCCCCGCCCTGGGGAAAAGACCTTGGCTATTTACCCTATCCATGCCCCTCATGATTTTATAAACCTCTGTAAGGTCACCCCTCAGCATCTGACGCACCAGGGAAAACAACCCCAATCTATTCAGACCCTCCATCCCTGGCTAGGTCCTTGTAAATTTTTTTCTGAAATCTTTCAAGTTTAACAACATCTTTCCTAAAGCAGGGAGACTAGAATTGAACGCTGTATTCCAAAAGTGGCCTAACCAATGTCCTGTACAGCTGCAACATGACCCTCCCAATTCCTATACTCAATGCACTGACCAAGGCAATCTTGCGAATGCAAGCATAGCAAATGCCTTCTTCACTATCCTGTCTACCTGCAACTCCACTTTCAAGGAACTATGAGCTTGCACTCCATGTTTGCTTTGTTCAGCAACACTCTCCAGGTCCTTACCATTAACTGTATAAATCCTGCCCTGGTTTGCCTTACCATAATGCAACACATCACATTTATCTAAATGAAATTCCATCTGCCACTCCTTGGCCCATTGGCTCATCTGATCAAGGTTCCATAATACTCTGAGATAATCTTCATCACAGTCCACTACACCACCTATTTTGTTGTCACCTACCTACTAAATTCACATCCAAATCATTTATATAAATGACAAAAAGCAGTGGACCCAGCATTAATCCATGCAGTACACGGCTGGTCACAGGCCTCCAGTCTGAAAAGCAACCCTCCTCCGTCACCCTCTGCCTCCCACCTTCAAGCCAATTGGCTAGCTCCCCCAGGATTCCATGTGACCTAACCTTGCTAACCAGTCTACCATGCAAAACCATGTTGAACACCTTGCTGGAGTCCATATAGACAACGTCTACCATTCTGCCTTCCTCAATCTTCTTTGCCATCTCTTCAAAAATCTCAATCAAGTCAGTGAGACACCATTTCCCATGCACAAAGCCATGTTGACTACCACTGATCAGTCCTTGCCTTCCCAAATACATGTAAATCCCGTTCCTCAGAATCCCTTCCAACAACTTGCCCACCACAGATGTCAGGCTCACCGGTCTATAGCTCCCTGGCTTTTCCCTCCCACCTTTCTTAAACAGTGGAACAATGTTAGCCACCTTCCAGTCTTATGGCACCTCACCTGTGGCTATCGATGATACAAATGTCTCAGCAAGGGGCCCAGCAATCACTTCCCTAGCTTCCCACAGAGTTCTAGGGTACACCTGATCAGGTCCTGGGGATTTATCCATCTTTATGCATTTTAAGAACTTCCTCTTTTGAAATATGGACACTTTTCAAGGCATTGGTATTTATTTCCCCAAGTTCCCTAGCTTTCATGTCCTTCTGTACAATAAATACTGACGTGAAATATTCATTTGTCTCATCTCCTGCAGTTCCACACATAGATGGCCATGGTGATCTTTAAGGGGCCCTATTCTCTCCCTATACTCTTTTGCCCTTAATGTATTTGTAGAATCCCTTTGAATTCTCCTTAACTCTATTTGCCAAGGCTATCTCATGTCCCCTTTTTGCCCTCCTGATTTCCCTCCTAAGTATACTCCTACTGCCCTTACACTCCTCTCAGTATTCACTTGATCCCTGCTGCCTATACCTGACATATACTGCCTTCTTATTCTTGACCAAAACCTCAATTTCTCTAGTCATCCGGCATTCCCTACACCTACCAGCCTTGCCCTTCACACTAGTATACTGTCTCTGAGAGCAAGAGTGAGTCTAATATTGCTCTAATATACTGTCACACAAACATACTCTCTCTGAACTCTCGTTGGCTTATTTTTGAAGCTTCCAACTTTCCAGCCATCCCTTTACCTGCAAATAGCCTCTACCAATCAACTTTTTAAAGTTCCTGTCTAATACTGTCAACATTGGCCTTTCTCCAACTTAGAACTTTAACTTTTAGATCTGGTCTGTCCTTTTCCATCACTATTTTAAAGCTAATAGAATTATGACCAAAAGCAGAAGTTGCTGGAAAAGCTCAGCAGGGCTGGCAACATCTGTGAAGAAAAATCGCAGTTAACGTTTCAGGTCCGGTGACCCTTCCTCAGAACCCAGTGTCTGCCCCCACCTCCCCCCGCCAAATACCACCCCCCCCCCCCCCCCCCCCCCCCCCCCCCACCCCTGACAACTCAGTCACCTGCCCTGCCTTATTTCCCAGGAATAGGTCAGGTTTTGCTCCTACTCTAGTCGGCACATCCGCATACTGAATCAGAGCATTTTCTTGTACACATTTTACAAATTGTTCTCCATCCAAGCCTTTAACACTAATTGCTGTCCCAGTCTCTGTTTGGAAAGTTAAAATCCCCTACTATTACCACCCTATTATTTTTACAGATAACTGTCATCTCCTTACAAATTTGCTTTTCAATTTCCCACTGACTACTGGGGGGGTCGAGAGTACAATCCCAATAAGGTGATCATCCCTTTCTGATGAAGGGTCTAGGCCCGAAACGTCAGCCTCTCTGCTCCTATGATGCTGCTTGGCCTGCTGTGTTCATCCAGCCCTGCACCTTGTTGTCTCGGATTCTCCAGCATCTGCAGTTCCTACTATCTCTGATCCCTTTCTTATTTCTCAGTTCCACTCAGATAACTTCCCTGGACGTATTCCCAGAAATATCCTCCCTAGGTACAGCCGTAATGTTATCCCTAATCAAAAATGCCACTCCCCCTTCTCTCTTGCCCCCCCTTTCTATCTTTTCTATACCCTGGAACATTAGGCTGCCAGTCCTGTCCATCCCTGAGCCAAGTCTCTGTAATTGCCATAATATTCCCAGTCTCATGTTCCCAACCATGCCCACAGTTCATCTGCCCTACCTGTTACGCCTCTTGCATTGAAATAAAATCCTTGAGGGCCTAATTTTTAACCTCCTGCCTAATTTCCTATATTCTCCCTTCAGAACCTCATCCCTTTGTCTTCCTTTGTCATTGGTACCAATGTGAACAATGACCTTCTGCTGGTCCCTCACCCCTTTAAGAATATTCTGCACCCGCTCCGAGATATCCTTGACCCTGGCACCAGGGAGGCAACACACCATCCTGATATCTCGTTGTCAGTTGCAGAAATGTCCGCTTGTGCCTTTGACTAGAGAGCCCCCTAACGCAATTCATCGCTTGGAAACCTGGTGTATCCCTTATTACATTAGAGCCAGTCTCAGGATATCAGGATAACCTGGCTATCAATGCTACATTCCAATGACAGTCCATCACCTCCTATAGTATGCAAAACAGCATATCTGTTTGAGATGGGGATAGCCACTGATACTCCTGCACTACCTGCCTCCCTTTCCTACCTTTCCTGGAGGTAACCCATCTACCTGTCTCTATCTGCACTTCTTCTCCCTCCCTGCAACTGCCATCCATCACACCCCCCAGCTCCTGTAAATTCGTCATTGCCTCTAACTGCCGCTCCAACTAATCCGATAGGAATCACACCCAAAAACACTTCCTCCAAACGTGATCATTAGTAACATGGAAACTCTCCCTTATCTCCCACATCTAACATGAAGAGCACATCACTATTCAAAAAGCCATTTCTGCCCTTTGTCGACCAATCGACAGGCCAAGAAATTACCTAAAAAACATGCACTTTGTATGTTTTTTAGGTAATAAAGAGATTGCATTGTGTCTTCGTCGGTGAGACCAAGCAGAGGCTTGGAGACGGCTTTGTAGAGCACCTGTGTTCTATTCACGACAAACGACAACAACTTCCAGTCGCGAACCATTTTAAGTCCCCCTCCCATTCCCTGGACGACATGTCCATCCTGGGTCTCCTCCAGTGTCACAAAGACGCCACCAGGAAACTGGAAGTACAGCACCTCATATTCCGCCTTGGGAGCTTACAACCCAATGGTCTCAATGTGGACTTTACCAGCTTCAAAATCTCCCCACCCCCGGCCTCATCCCAAGACCAACCCTCCCTCTCATCCCCACCTCCTTGACCTGTCCATCTTCTCTCCCATCTATCTGCTCCTCACACCTTGCTGACCACTCCCCACCGCTCCCTACCTGCACTCACCTATCATCATTCCACCCACCTTCCCCAGCCCCACCCCTCCCCTCTCTATTTATTTCTGAACTCCCTTCTCTCTCCCCCATTTCTGAAGAAGGGTCTCGATTCGAAATGTCAGCTTTCCTGCTCCTCTGATGCTGCCTGGCCTGCTGTGTTCATCCAGCTCTACACCTTGTTTACTGAAATAGAGAGAGTGTTTTGTGTGTTTAGTGTGACAGACAGTGAAATCAACAGGATTGTTTGTGTGTGAGAGAGACAGAGTGAGATGTGGAGACGTGTGTGTGTGTGTGTGATTGTGAGTGTGTGTGTGTGAGTGAGTGTGTGTCAGTGTGTGAGAGTGTGTGTGTGAGTGTGTGTGTGTGTGTAAATGTGTGTGTGTGTGTGAGAGTGTGTGTGTGAGTGTGTGAGAGTGTGTGTGTGTGAGTGTGAGTGTATGAGTGAGTGTGTGTGAGTGTGTGTGTGTGTGTATGAGTGTGTGTGTGTGAGTGAGCGTGTGAGAGTGTGTGTGTGAGAGTGTGTGAGTGTGTGTGTGTGTGTGAGTGTGTGTGTGTATGTGAGAGAGAGAGTGTGTGTGTGAGTGTGTGAGTGTGTGTGTGTGTGTGAGTGTGTGTGTGTGTATGTGAGAGAGCGAGTGTGTGTGTGCGTGCGTGTGTGAGTGAGTGTGTGTGAGTGTGTGTGTGTGAGTCTGAGTGAATGTGTGTGAGTGTATGTGAGTGTGTGTGTATGTGTGAGTGCGAATGAGTGTGAGTGAGTGTGTGAGTGTGTGTGTATGAACGTGTGTGAGTGTGTGAGAGTTTGTGTGTGTGAGTGTGAGTGAGTGTGTGAGGGTGTGTGAGTGTGTGTGTGTGTGAGTGCGAATGAGTGTGTGTGTGAGAGTGTGTGTGTGTGTGAGTGTGTGTGTGAGTGTGTGTGTGTGTGAGTGTGAGTGTATATGTCAGGGTGTGTGTGTGAGTGAGTGTGTGTGTGTGTGTGAGAGTGTGTGTGTGTGTGAGTGAGTGTGTGTATGTGTGAGAGTGTGTGTGTGTGAGTGTGTGTGTGTGAGTGTGTGCGAATGTGAGTGTGTGTGTGAGTGTGTATCCCCTGTTATTGTACGATCCCTGTGTCATTGAAAACAGTGTTTCCCTCTGCACAGGTTCCCCATTCCGGGATGAGATTACTCTCGCGATCCTCCAACTTCAGGAGAATAACCGGTTGGAAATACTCAAGAGGAAGTGGTGGGAGGGAGGGAAGTGTCCGAAGGAAGAAGATCACAGGGCAAAAGGTGAGATACAGCACTCCGATCTCTGAACCAGATCCCATAGTCATGATCCATAGTCTGGATATCTCCCCTCAACAGGGAGATCTCCAGCGACCAGGAGATTCCTGTAGACAGAGTCATTCTCAAATCACACAGAGGAATGAATGATCATAGACACATGAGATCCATCGACTCCATCTATACTTCCCACTGCCTTGGGAAGAATGCCAACATCATCAAAGACCCCTCCTACTCCAGTATAATCTCTTCATATCTCTTCCATCCAGCAGAAGATACAAAAGCTTGAACACACATACCAACAGATTCAGCAACATCTTCTCCCCAGCTATTATTAGAATTCTTAACGGACCTCTCTCATTTCAAATCTAATGTTGGCCTTGCTTTTTGTGTACCTTCTTTGCAGCCACAACTTTGTATTCCTCACCCTGTTCTATTAACCTAATGCACTTTGTATGGTATGATCTGCCTGTACTGCACACAAAACAAAACCTTACACTGTACCTTGGTACATGTGACAATAGTAAATCCAATCCAATCAAAGAAAGAGATCTCAATCATACGGCAATTGTGATCACCATACATAGAATGATTCCAATCACTCCGAGATCCCAATCGGAGCAAAGTGCGATCCCAGTGGTGTACCAGAGATCCATAGAGCTATAACAGAGGGAAAACGCTGCCACTTTGATCCAATCACAGAAAGATACCAATTACAGAAAGATCTCCAATGCAGTGAGACTGCAATGTCAGTAAGATCTAAATTGCTGTGAGATCCCAAAGATCCCCCCCATCTCAGTGAGAACCATTCACAGTGAGATTCAATTCAGAGAGAGATTCCATTAACAGTGAGATCCCAGTCGGTGATCCTTTATCATAGTGAGATCCTATTGTGAGTCTTTCCCTCATTGTCTTTGGCTCTCACTGTCTGTCTCTATGTCTCTATTTGGCCTAAACCTATCTCCATTCTCGCAATAAACCTTGGTGTGTTTCTCTACCTGTCAGGTTTAGGAATGGAGAACATTGGTGGGATATTTGTCGTCCTGATCTGTGGTCTGATCATTGCAGTCTTTGTAGCTGTCATGGAGTTTGTTTGGACAACTCGCCGTTCAGCAGAATCAGAGGAGGTATCGGTAAACAGACTTTTATTCATTTATTCAGGGTTCGAATTGCTGTACAAACTGTAACTGTACACAGAGAAATGCATCACTGCACACACTGTAACTGTACACAGAGAACTGTATTACTGCACACACTGTAACTGTACACAGAGAACCGTATCACTGCACACACTGCAACTGTACACAGAGAATTATATCACTGCACACACTGTAACTGTACACAGAGAACTGTACCATTATATGCACTGTAACTACACACGGAGAATTTTATCACTGCACGCACTGTAACTGTACAAAGAGAACTGTATCATTATACGCACTGTAACTACACACAGAACTGTATCACTGCACACACTGTATCTGTCCTCACAGGAACGTCACTCGCCAGCTCTAGGCCAACAAATGAGGACTCTCACTGTCTACCAGTTTCCAGTCACACCGTCACATTGTCTGTCATCCCTCCTGATAGCACAGAGCATTTCCTGTGTGGGAGATTGTGGGCTTTGTGGGAAGGGGGAGATGGAGGAGACGGGGGAAGGAGGGGAGGAGTGGGGGGAGGCTGGTCCTGCTGTAAACTGATTGTTGTCTGGGTGACGACTGAGAGGACATTGATGCTTCTCTCCTCTCTCTCTCTCTTTCTCTCTCTACCCTCCCATCCCACTCTCCTTCACCCTGCCTCTCCCACTCCTTCCTACCCCTCTCCCTCCACCTCTTCCTTCCCCCTCCCCTCTCCACCTCCTCCTTCCCCCCCCACCCCTCCTCCTGCCCCCTTCACCCCCTTCCCTCTCTCTGTCTCTCTCTCTAACCCTTCCTCCCCTTTTCCTCTTTCTCTCCCGCCCTCATTTTCTCCCCACCCCCCCCACCACCTCCTTCCCCTCCCTCAGGTCTCCATGTGCCGCCAGATGTTTACCGAGCTGCGCCATGCTGTGTCGTGTAAGAAGACGTCCCGTTGGAGAAGGAGACGGAGACCAGCTAGGCCAGGGGGTGTCCCTTTGAGCAAGCAGCTGCGAGCGGCCCGGGAGCTGAGGCTCAGTAATGGCAGGCTCTACCCAGGGCCTACGGGGAGCCTGGGCCTAGAGCCGAGCCTGGGCCCGGGCCTGGGCCCCGGACCGCAGCGACTCCTCGATGAACTAGGCCCGGGCCCAGGCAGGAGCTGCAGCCACGTCCGTATCTGCCAGGAGTGCCGGAGGATCCAGGGCCTGAGGACGACACGCCTCCCCCCGAGCCGGGGGCCTGTACAGGCCGAGGAGCAGCCTCCTGTATCTGGCCCGCAGCCTGAGGCCAGCAACCAGGACTGAGAGGGAGCCCGGGCCCAGAACCGGAGACTGGGAGCTGAGGTGGAGGGGGTGGGGGGAGGGGCCTGGGCACCACGGTCTGGGATCAGGGCCTAGGGACCACCGGGCAAGATCAGGGCCTAGGATCAGGACCCGGGGTCAGGGTTTCGGCCTTCTCCTGCCTGCCCGCCCAGGGACAAGCCTCTCCCGCTGTCTGTGTCTCTCTGTCTCCCCCCCCTCCATCTCCCTCGCCCTACCCCCAGACCATTCGCCCCTCAATCCAGACCTTGCCCTCTCTTTCACAACCCATACTGTGCTCCCTACCATCACAACATGCCCCCCTCCCCCTCACAACATGTCCCTCTCCCTCCCTCAGACTGTAGCCCCTCCCTCTCACACCATGCCCCCTCCCCCCTCTACCCACAACATGCCCCCTCCACACACACTACCACCTTGTCACCCCACCCCGCCTCACCCCGATCCCAGCAGACCCCTGCTTGCCAGGATATCCCCTCTCCCCTCCCAGGAACCGACCCGATCCCTCCCAGGGTCGGTCCCTTTCCCCTGGCCCCAGCCCCCAGCATCAGCTCTCCCTCCCGCAGGAAGCAGGCGGGGGTGGGGGTTCAGGCTGTGGTCAGGAATGGAGTCGGGAGCAGGAGAATGCGGTTGGAGCGATGGACCAGTAAACAGAAAGAGCATGGGGTGGAGGGGGGTGGGGGGGTGGGTGGGAGACAGAGATAAGGAAGCAGAACGAGATGGACCAATACAGAGAGACATAGAGAGATAAACAGAGTGTGTGAGAGAGAGAGAGGAGAGAGATCGGTGGAAGAACTCCCTTTGATGGGATGGTCAGAGTGGTTAGCACCGAGGGACAGTGTTGGACCAGGGACCACAACTGCCCTCACTGAACTCAGGGTAATTAACTGCCTTGTCAAGGGGTTCACAAAAGGATAGGAACATATGAAGACACTCAACACGTGCTCTGCACTTTTAACAACAAAAGAAACAATGGACTAAGTGTTTGCACCAAACTGGACCTTATCTGGAGAATCCTCTGCAGATCTGAACTTTTCTTTCTGTTACTTTTTTTTCTTCCTTTTACTTTGCTAATTTCTATGTATAGTTACCAAAAACAAAAGGCAGACACACGGAATAGCAAACTCAGCAAATGGTGAGGACACATCGGCTAATTTGAGTAAATAAAAGACACTACTATGCATTTCTTCAATGACTGGCCACTCGATTGCTAGTGGTTCCCCCAACAGCCTGTCAGGTACCATCATCTCAAAGCGTTTGGTCATATCTCACTCTGTCTACAGGAGCCATGAGGGGCCAGCAACAAGTTGGTACCAAAAAGAGGAGGCGTTATTGCGAGTTGGGGAGCCGGATATTGGACTGGGAGAATGTGATATTGCTTTCAGAAGATTGAGATATTGCATCCAAAATGTGTGCTATTTCTCTGGAGGGATGAGGGACCAGGACAGTGGGATATCAGACTGGGAGAATGGGATATCAGACTGGGAGAGCGAGATATGAGACCGGGAGAGTGGGATATCGGATGGGGAAAGTGGGATATCAGACTGAGAGTGCAGTGTCAGGTATCGGACCTGAAGTGTGCAATATTGCCTGGGGAAGTGGGATATCAGACTGGGAGAGTGGGATATCAGATGGGTAGGGTGGGATATCAGACTGGGAGAGTGGGATATCAGACTGGGAGAATGGGATATCAGACGGGGAGAGTGGGATATCAGACGGGGAGAGTGGGA